CATCAGTGCAGATCCTGGGCAGGGAGGTGGGGGGAGCAGCAGGTGGTGACTCAAGTAATAAGATCCTTATCGGCACTTATCAGCCATGTAGGAGACCTCGATGGGACCCCCAAGCTTGGCCATTTGGGTAATGAATCTGCAGATGGGAGCTCATTCTTTCTGTCTCTGCCTCTTACATAAACTTAAAAAAAAAAAAAAATGTTTTAGGGCTGACTTGGCCGAGGGTGGAGATTCAACCTTAGGAGGGGAAAGGAGATGCTGGGAGGTCAGTGAGGGGGATGGGACAGGCCAGTCCTCAAGGAGGGAGACCAGGTCTTGGCCTGGGGCAGTGTGGTGTGGGGCAGGGATTGGTCTTCCCATCTGTTCAACAAGCACATGGGATGCGATATCCCCTAAGGAATTTTCAGCTTGGGAATTTGGTGGTTTGGTACACCAATGAGGAGCAGCCAGTTGCTGTTTTTCTGCTCCATCTTTGGGCTTTGCCCCTTGGATTCTGCATCAGAACACAGCCCAGCATCAGATGGGGTCTCCAGCCCATCGCCAGTACAGCCAGCCCCACTCTTGTCCCCACCTCCCAGGGACAGATGGGTGGAGAGCAAGAGGCAGCTGGGCCTGAAGCAGGCAGGGCCCCAGAGGAGAGAATTATCCGAGAGTTCACAACCCCTCTCTGCCTTCCAGATCCTGAGTTAAAAGCCCCAAATGCCGCAGCCCCAAGGGGGAAAGGGTTGAAGGGCGTCAAGAGATGGGCAAAGTAAGATCCCTTTCTGTCTCACAGCTGCCCGCCTGGCAAAGGAAAGCCCATGGTACCAAGAACACCTGTGCTGAGAGCTGTTAGGGCTGTGGCTCAAAACCGGTGGCCCTCGGGCCATGTCTGACTCACGGATGCATTTCCTTGGCCAAAAAAGTCCTTGAGAGAAATTAAAGCCCGAGTTTCAAAATCAAGACATTTTTCAGTCAAATCCAGATTTCTGCCTTCCCGTGAATCTTGACTGTGCTGATGGCCAATTCCCTTATTGCAATCTGCAGCAGGAGCGGAGTAGCAGCTGTCCTCATTATTATTTTAGTTTATTAATAGGTTAATACATTCACATGGTTCAGAAAAATTACACTAATGAAGTCTTCCATCTTTGTCTCCCTTCTGTCCACTGCTCACTGCAGCAAGCTATTATTTTCTTATGTAAACTTCCAAAATTTGTGTGTATAGAAGCACCTTCAACTAGAGATTATTCTCCCTGTCCCTCTTTTCTCCCTGCCTCACCCCCTGTTCTTTTTCCTGGACAGGCCTGTCTGGATCAGTGTAGATCTTACTGCCATGTGCCACTCAGCTGTCAGGAAATACTGTGACTTATTTAGCTGGTATTCTGATGGACCCTTGTGCCCTTCCCAATATTTGCTATGGTAAACAATCAATGGTTTCATACATAGCTTGCACAGGCACAAACATTACCACAGCCGCTAAAGGCAATTTTAGGATCTGATCCAAGTACAGGGTACAGGCGCTCTCAGCAGGATCTCGAAGCAAGACTAAGCCTGGAGCCATGGAGAGGGCTGTTCCTAAGAGGACCCTTCCCCACCAAAAAAAAAAAAAAAAAAAAAAAAACCCAAAAAACAAAACAAAACAAAAACCCTCAGGAGCTGCATCCTTACAGAAGCACCCCCAGATTTGCCTCTGCCACATGCCAAGTGTGGAACTTTTCTCTGGCCCTCAGCATCCCCCTCTGTAACAGGAGAGAGGCTTGGGGAACTGAGTGGAGGTCCCCAAGGGCTTGCTCCGTTCTGGCCAGCCAGGGTCACCTTCTCCCTCCCTGGAAGGTGCTTGGCTTAGTTCTATTTCATAGTCTTTGCATTCCCCGTCCTCATCTCCTGCCCGTCCCGAGCCACAGGAACACCATGTATTGATTCTAGTGGGAATTTCTGAACTGATGGCCGCTCAGAACACACCCACTCATGCCCTTCCAGCCAGAGGTCCTTCAAGAGTCCCTCCAAGAGGCAGGTGGCCCCCACACCTGACCCGCACATCAGATACCCCATCCAGTCCTTTCTCTAGGTCATTTCCTCCTCCAGTATCAGCTCTCTGAGTCTGCTACTTCCCAATCACCAGCTTTGTGATAGCAGTGTCCTGAGTCCTTGTAGCCACTTGAAAAATGGATACTTGGAGCAAAACATGGCAAACCCAAGAAGTTAGACCGGCTTAAGGATCTCCTAAGTTACCCCTCAACTGACTTAGTTACCAAGGTTGGAGAGGGTCATGAAGACTGTATCATAGGGTTGATCACTCACTCATTCATTCATTGATTCAATAACTTTTGTAGAGTACCTATCGAGGGCTAGGGACAGCAGAGGGCACGAGGAGGTTTGGTGGTGAAGAAAATACAGTCGTGAGTAGTTATCGGTAGGGATTCATTCTGAGAGGTGTGTTAAGTGATGTCTCACCGAGTCCCCTTACACAAATTTGGATGCTATAGCCCACCACACATACCTAGGTTCTCTGGTGCAAGCTACTGCTCTCAGCCTACAAACCTGGGTAGCAGGTTACCATCTGAACACTATAGGCAGTGATAAAACAATTCCAAGTATGTTTGTCTCTAAACACAGAAAGGTAAAGTAAGAAGGTCAGGTGACAGAAATGTTTCAGCTGCAGATACTTGCCATCTCATGGGATCATTGTCGCATATGTGATCTTTCACTAATCAAAGAATCGGGACGCAGGGTACAACTGCAGGTGGATTGTCCCAATCCCCATGGAGCTTCCCAGCAATTCCAAACAGGCAACCACTCAAAGGCCACTGTGTTGATGCTGAGTAGAAAAACACCAAGGCATTATGGAGGCTCACAACAGCGGACTGTAAGGGGCATTCTCTCTGAAGGCTGCAGAAGGCACGATCATGAGGGACACCCAGGAGCAAGGAGGTATCACCCCCAGGAATAATGACCATTTTTCATCCTCACCACAACTCCTGCAGGAAAGCACCTGCTATCTCTAATCTTAGCTTTCTCTAAAGTTGAGAGAAACTCAGTGATTTGTCCAAAGGGATGCGTGGATTTCAAAAGTGTACAGTCTCCAACATGAAAACCTAACTCCTCCTGCTAGTTCTGGTGGGGCTGCCTCCACTTGGGTAGGGCCCCTAGGTGGGAATCTAATTCTGCCAGGTCCCACTCCGGGGCAGCTGTCAGAGGGCAGAGGTCAAACACACACAGGACCTTGGCCACGACCAGGAGGATAACCTGGTGTACAGCTTCTCCCCTGCTTGCCAGCACCCAGCGCTCTGCACGCTCCAGGTTATAGTAGGGAAACACTCAGCCTAGTGTTGCAGTGGAGAAAGGAGCCAGAGATGCTGCTTTCTAACGCACATTGGGATTCGGAGCTTCCAGCCCAACTGACACACACACACTCCTGCTAATCTGAACATGTTGGTGGATAAGGGACTGTCGGTCTTGAATCCAGCCTGGAAAATTCCCTGAATCCTTAACTCTTTATCTCCCTCCCCCCCCCCGCCCCCGCCGCCCCAGCCCCCAACCCCTGTTTCCAGCTTTGGGCAACAGCTGCTACCCCCACCTCTGAAGCATTGCTGAGATCAAAACAGTCCCTGGGCACTCACAGGATGCCAGGCTGCCGGACAGCAGATGACTGCGTAAGGCCCAGGGCAGCTGTCTCCCTTCATGCTGCTTCACCTGCCTCTTCCTGCCCTCCTCTCCTCCTGAGAGGAGCAAGGTCTATTCTGGAGCCAGACAATGAGCTTGGATTTGGCTCCAGTACGAACTGCATGACTCGGAACAAATTCATTGCCTTCCCTGTGATTCGCTTCCATCAGTGAAATGGGAGAGGAAAGATGCAAAACATTCTCACACACCCAGAGAATAAAAGGAGTTAATAATTGTGCAGTGCTTAGACAAGAGGAAGTGCTCCGGAACGAGGGTATCCTAAATGTCCCGACACACCAATGGGAACAAAGGTCTGGGGACCAGAGGGCTGGGGGTGGGAGAGAAGGTGAGTGGAGCGCACAGCACCGCTCTAATCTCCCCTGATCTCTCCAACCCTGTGGTCCTTTCTGTACCCCACCTGCTGACTCTCTAAATCCTGGCACGGTCACACAGCTCCCCTGCAGAAATTCTGCAGCGGTTCCAGTTTGGCTGCTGGAGCAGAGCCGCCTTCCGGCCCTCCAGGATGCACCCCTCAGAGCTCTTCCCCGTCTTCCCACTCGCTCCCATCTGTGGTCCGCACTTCCTTGAAAGCGCACCCGCCCTCCGGGTGTGCGCCCTTGCCCTTTCTCGCCCACCAGGTGTTTGCTCCCTTCCTCTCCCCCTCCACGTTGTCCCTTCCTCTCCGAGGAGGTCCGTAGCCAGGAGCTAGCCGTCCCTGAGGGAGGAAAAGGCGGCAACTCTCAGCAGGGCATTTTTCTCTGCTTCCAAACGAAAACAATAAGGAGAGGGACCACCCAAGATCACCGAGGGGGTGGCACCGCGCCAAACATCGGGGTCACCAGGAAAGGTGCGTTCTCCATGCACGACTGTCACTGGCTTGATAAGAGTGTCAGTCCAGGCAGCCATGCTCCTAGCCCCTCATTTCCAAGACCCTGACCCCTCCTACCCCTGAATACCTCAGGCCAAGGGAGATCAAAGGAAGAGAGAGTACGGGAGGAGCCCGAACAAGAAGAAAGGAAGTGGAGTCTGGGCAGGGTGGCGGGGCAGGGGGAGGTAGGACACGCAAAGCCAGAGGCCGGGGCCCCACCTCCCAAAGAAGGACAGAGGTGACCGGGGTGCGCTCTCCCCTCCGGGGGGCTGCTCCCATCCGGCAGCAGCAGCGCGCGCGCGGGGCGGGTGCGAGTGGCGCGGCGCCGGGAGGGATGAATAATTAAAGGAGAGGGAGGAGGAGAAGGGGAAGGAGGCGGCGGCGAGGAGGGAGGAGAGGAGGCGGGAGCCGCCCGCGCAGGGTCCTCCCCGCCGCGCACCGCACTCCCTCCGCCGCCCGGAAGTCGCTCCCCGCCGCCTGCTCCGCCAACATGGCCGCGAAGTCGGATGGCGCGGCGGCCGCGGCCGGCCCGGGGCCGGAGGGGGCGGCCGGCGGGGCCCGCGGCGGGGCGGGCGGGCGCGGGGAAGCAGCCGCGGTGACAGGAGGCGCCGGGGCTGGGGCTTCAGGCCCGCGCTACGAGCTGCGGGACTGCTGCTGGGTGCTGTGCGCGTTGCTCGTGTTCTTCTCCGACGGCGCCACGGACCTGTGGCTGGCGGCCTCCTACTACCTGCAGGGTCAGCACACCTACTTCGGCCTCACCCTGCTGTTCGTGCTGCTGCCCTCGCTGGTCGTGCAGCTGCTCAGCTTCCGCTGGTTCGTCTACGACTACACCGAGCCCGCGGGGGCCCCGGGACCCGCCATCAGCACCAAGGACAGCGCCACCGCCGCTGCCTTCAGGACCAAAGAAGGCAGCCCCGAACTGGGCCCCGGGTCCGCGCCTTCCCCGGCCGGCACCTACCGCCGCCGCTGCTGCCGCCTCTGCGTCTGGCTGCTGCAGACCCTCGTCCACCTCCTGCAGCTTGGCCAGGTCTGGAGGTAGGAAAAGAGCAGGTGCAGGGGCTGAGTTGGGGGCGGGTCGCGAAGGGACTGCCGCCTCCCCAGTCCTGCTCTGACCTTTCCAGTCTCCTGTCCCGATCCCTCACGCCGCCCCCTTCTTCTCCCCTCCAGTCATTGTAACTGATTTCTTCTCACTCAGCTCCTCCCTCACCTCTACCCCTAAACCTTGACCGTTTGCTCTTAAGAGAGGAGGTAATGGGATCAGACGGGACAGAAAGAGACCTGAGGGTGGTAGGAGAGGAGGAACCGGAGCCCTGGCTGGCTCCTGCCCTAGTGCTGAGCTCTCAGAAGACTTTACTTGCTCTCAGACACTCTCTGTTTGCAATCACAGCCCTGTCCCCAACCTCCCAGGGGAGTCAGCATTTGAGGCAACCAAATGAATATCCCGCCTAAACTTTTTGGAAACATGTATTTTAGAGTGAGTTGAAAGCACTGGTTCCCGTGTCCTAAGGACTCCCCCGGTTCCCTCTCCCTCTGACAGGGGCCAAAGGAATTTGGAGTCTTGAAACTGAGGTTCAAGGGCTGCCAGCTTCCCTTTAATCCTAGGATAGCAAGGCAAAAACTGAGGCTTTGTTCAAGCTGCCAGGAGGAGGCTGGGTACCTGCTGTGCTGTGTTCAGAAGGGCAATTCTGAACTCGGGACTGCGCCCGCCCGTGAATGTAGTACCGTGGGCTCTATCCTGCAGTGACAAAAGGGACTTAGTGTGTGCTCTTAGCCGGGCACACTCCTCCTCTGTTGGAGCCCCAGTTTCCTCACCTATGAAAGGAGGGAGCATTTCTTTGCATTCTGTTGGTTTACCATCATGTTTCCCTAAGCTGTTGGGACAGTGAGGTGAAAGGTCTGGGCACGGGTTCTGAGATGGTCATCTCTTTCTGAGATGTAATGAGTTATTATGACAATCCTGACCGAGATGGGGAAAGGAGCCCCTTGCGAGATGCCCAGGGAGACTGCTGCTGTTACATTTGTCCTGCTACTTGTTAACACATTTTGCTTAACTCAGAGGATTCCATTCTGGGCTGAGGGTTGGAAACAGAACTCCCAGGGTTTGTCCCACCTGCTGCCTTGCTGTGTCACGTGAGCTGTGTTCGGTTCTCCCTCTGCCTTGGTTTCCCCATCGATGCCTGCCAAGAGGATGTGTTTGTCCTGGAGAGGGGTTCGGGGGAATGGGGTGGAGTTCTAGCTCCACAAGACATTGTTATTATTATTATTAGTTTGACACACAGAAATTTTCATGTCTACATCCAGGAACTAATCTGCATTTATCATTCTGTGCCCGAGTGAACAGATGGTAGGAGGTATTTTTAGATTCTGAAATGGTAACTTCCTATTCTTGGTAGCCAAAGCAACATTCCCCTTTCCCTTCAACCTCAAGTGGGCCAGCTGCCCCTTGACTCACCGGTTACCTGCCTCCCCCATTCATAATCCACTTGCAAAAAAAAAATATGAAGAGTTCTCTTGTTTCTTAGACATAAACTGAGTTTCCTTCAAACTGGAAAAAAAAAGAAAAAGAGGCCAAGGGTCAGGGATGGAGGGCCCAAGAAGGTGGCTGGGAATGGCTGAGGGACTGCTGAGCGGGTATTTTCTTAGAAGAGCCATTTCCACTCTTCCGGAATTGTAAAGTGGGGCAACTGGGATGAGACAGTTTTTGCAAGGATAGCAATCAACCGACCATGGAGTTGAGTTTGGCCTTACGGAAGTGTTTTGTGTGGTTTAAATAGTACTTTTTTCAAACCCAGAGTCCAGCAAACATTCGACTCCAGCAGTTTGAGGGCCAAAACAATTGAAAGGCAGGTGTTGACTTCAGATTCTTCAGCTCCAGGGTCTCTAAGTTACGGTTCTGAAGTAATTATTTTCTTAAACACCCACTTTGTACTAAACTTTTTCACCAGCCTTATCTCCTGAATTCCCTTAATGTTGTCTCCCCATTTGGCTGGCATTATAATAATTCCTCCTTGACAGAGGAAGGGATGGGGACCACAAGAGGGGCCTTCTTGGCGCAAGGTCACACAGTTAGGGTCTGGAAGAGCTGGGCCTGAGGACTCTGCCTTCATAGCTCAAGCTCAGTGGATCCGCCTTGCCATGCCACTCTGCCACTAACATGTCCCCCAACCTTGAAGAATGATGAGTCTGAGAGCCTGAGATTCAAGGATGACTTCCGTGGCTTCTGCTGTGCTGAGATAACACTGTGTGAGGAAGGGAGGGCACTGAGTTTTGTGGGGAAGGATGAAAAGCAGTGTGTGGGGGGCCATGAGGAATGGCCGGTGAGTGCCTATTTCTTCAGCTTGGTTCATAACCAGCTTGCTAGGCAACCCAGGACTAGGCTCATTTTCTGTGTGTGTGCAGTGGGAGGATGGAATTTGATGACCTTGCTGAGGGGTGGGAAGAGCTCTGGTGCCCCACAATTCTGGCATGGTATTGGGTCCCTGTCTGCTGCCTGTATTGCACTAAAATGATCCAGTTGGCTTTGGGGGCCCCCACTCTGTCAAGGCCGCGGCCTTTCTGCCTCCATCTACTCTAAAGCCCCTACACTCCTGAGAAGTCCTGAACCGGGAGAATGGCCTGCTCAGTGCTTTGTTTCCCTCAAGAACTCTGAGCACTGGGGCACTGCAGAGAGCTACCAAGGGCCTGTGGCCAGTGGTGGAGTCTCTCTCCGAGTTCAATTCTGTGATCTGCTAGAAAACATGACGTAGACATGGTCATTGGAAGTGAGACAGACATAAGAGAAAGTCTCAATTCACCGAGCTGAGATGCTGACTGTGAATTTGACACCTGTTCCCCCCGAGAGCCCTGGATTCCAACACAGCCAAGGGTCTGCTCAGGTGGGAGGAAGCAGAGAGGAGGTAGAGGCCCTTGGGGCTGACATTCCCAGGAGCTGAGCAGTGTTGGCACCACATGGTTGTTCACCCCATGCAAGTTTCCTGCAGTTGCTCTAAGTGGCAGCCCCAGGGTGATGAGGGAAATTCTTAGGCTTGCACAATGCTGAGTCACAAGCTGAGGTGCACTGGGGAGCCAGGAAGGAAACACGCAGTGCAGAACGCGGGATGAAAGGTCAGGATGGGCCAAGCTGTGTCCTAGACAAGAGGAAGCCATTGCCTGCTTCCCCTTGGGCTGCTGGGAGAAGTCCCAGAGCCAGTATTGGCAAATTTTGACTTCTCAAGAGAGATGGGAGGCTGGGAGTTTTGGGGTGAAATGCTCCCAATTTGTGATGTTTTTTTAACAGTAGAATCAAGGATGGAAACACATCCGAGGGACTGTCTCCTGTGTGCCCTCTGCTGTAGCTCTGCACCGTTGATGATGTCCTTTTACGCAAAGGGGCTTATTATTTCATAGCTAACAGGAGGCCCTGCGGAAGGGGAAGGCATGAAGGGATTTCAGGGATCTGTGTACTAGCAGTGCCTCAAATGTCCTGCGTGAGGGGGTCCAGACTTAGGGTCTCACTTCCCCTGGTGGTGGTTGATTCACCTGTTGATCAGATACAGAGATCAAGTAAGTTGCCCAGAGTTGCTGTGGAGGAAGTGAAATGAGCTGCACGCCCAGCTCTGTCCCTGGCTCTGGCAGAGGATCCCAGGGCCAAGAGGCTATGTAGAAGGGCTGGCGCTGTGGCATAGCAAGTATAGCCTCTGTCTGTTGTGCCTATGTTCCATATAGGTGCCGATTCAAGTCCGACTGCTCCATTTCTGATCTAGTTCCCTGCTCATGTGCCTGGGAAGGCAGCGGAGGATTGCTCAAGTGCTCCGGGAAGCTCCTCGCTTTGGACTGGCTAAACTCTAGAAACTAGCCGCTGGCATTGACTTAGGGTGTTAATCAGCGAATGAAAGATCTCTTTCCATCTTCCCCCTCCCCCAACCCCACCTCTTTGTAACTGTGCCTTTCAAGTAAATAAATAAATCTTCTTAAAAGGCTAGGCAGAGACAGACAGAACCCCAGGAGACAAGACAGGGCCTTTGGTGGAGCACAGAGCTGGCTTTGCTTGGACATCAGCAGGTATCTTCACCCCTCTGCCTCCTCAACCCCCTGAGCTGTTAAGCTACTGACAGCTGTTAAGCCAATTAAAGTCCTCCCTGCATCTCCTCAGACCCTGTGGGCAGCGGAGCACTAAGCCATGAATCCTGCGCTCCCTAATCTTGGACTCACTGGGCACTAGCTTTGCCTGGGCAAGCGTGGACTGCTAAGCCAATTAGAGAGAGCTGATCTGGTACGGGATTCCTCCCAAGGCTGTCAGGATATGTGGATCCCCCAAATGGGGAGGAAGACCACTGGATTTTGGGAGGTCCTCTCTCTGATTCCCCTCCCAAATTTGTGTAGACTGCAGCGTGGCTTCCTCTGTGCTTCGGAGAGGCACAGAACCTGCCAGGCATGCAGCTCATGCTCTGGTCTCGCCTCCTGGAAGAAGCTGTGCTTCTTCTGTGTATATGTTCTTGGCATATACATGCTCTGTTCAGAGCCTGTTACTGCTTCTTTGCTGTGACCTTGCTGGGCCACATCATCTCTCACCCCTTAGAGACCAGGGTCTGTTGTTTCAAATGGAGTGGTGTCCACCAAGGGTTGCACCAAGAGCTGGTCCTGTCGTTAAGTGCTCCTGAACTGTTGGCAATGATTAGCACCACCAGCCCGGGCTTTGTTCCCTGTGGAACAAAGGTTTGCTCACAGAGCATGGGCCCAGTGACAGGCAGCCATTCATTTCATCTGCAGTCTTTAAGTTGATATTTATGGAGCACCTGCTGTATACCAGACATTCTTCCAAATACTAGAGAGAGAGCGGTGAGCAAGACAAAATCCTTGCTTTCTTGGCACTCAGCAGCCTAGTGGGGAGACCAGCAAGCAGAGTATCTTCAGTGTACAGTGTAATAGGCCAGATGGTGGTCAGTGCACTGAGGACAAAAGAAGGAGGGCAGGAGACTAGGGTGGGGGAGGTAGTGCTGCAGCATGCCAGGAGGAGATATGGTGCTGTGGTAAGGGGGTCAAGGCAGGAAGGGATG